AAGGGAGCAAGGCAGGAAGGCTGTCTCTGCTGGGGAGGAGACAGAGCCAGGCCCGGGCAAGCATCCTCCGTCCTCCAGTGCATGGAGACGTCCAAGGAAACAGGACCTGAGCCTCAGTGCAGGATGGACACGGTGCCTGAACAAGCTGGGGCCTGACCCCCTTCCCTCCTGGCACCTCCCAGGGGCCCACGTTACACCCCCCGCCCATCTGCACAACCAGTGCCCAGAAGCCCAGACATCCCCAGGAGCTTGCAGACAAGGATGGCTTCAGGGCAGCCGGCCGGTCCCTCGGGCGAGCAGCAGAGATGGCGCACGTCCGCACCGCGGAGCCATCGACGAGGACAACATCGAGGCAAAGAGCCCATTTCGTTCCACCTTGGCTGCTCCCAGCCTGACGAGCCGCAGTCTTCACGGCTCAGCGACCAGGGGGCTGGGGGTCGTTGCAGACCGAGGGCTCGGTGCATGCCAGCTGCCAGCTCGGGAGCAGTGTCCGGGGGTGGGAGGCTGGTTGAACCGCGTGGGGGGAGAGCGGGGGTCCCGGCCCAGAGCAGGGACCCGCACGCACAGAGCATCCATAATCCGCACGCAGCACCTGGCTCTACGAGGCTGCCTGGGCGCAGAGCCAGCCGCGGCCGCGCCGCCGTTTATCTCCCGGGTTGATTGATTCGGGGGCTGACATGAGCTTCCGCCCAATTTCACGCTCAATCAAGCTCATTATGGAAAAGGCCGCCGGCTCCCGGAGGAGCCAGCCCAGCAGTAACCAGTCACAGAGGCGCGGGGCTGGCAGGGACCTCCAAAAGTCAGGTGCCCGAAGCAGGATCAGCCCTCTCCATCCACAGACCCCGAGAAAAGCCTCCCCGAGGCAGGAGTGGCAGCCAGGCGCAGCACAGAGACCCCAGAGCTTGTTGCCTCCTCCTGCGTGGGCCCTGCAGCCACCCCGACGTGACCGACCCCAACAGCAGCCTTTCCAGAAGGAGGAATCGCTGCCTTTGCCGCTCCGTGCCTCAGTTTCCCCACATCAAGGAGGGGCACCACACTGCTGTTTCCACTTGCTCAAGTCCCCCCCCCAAGAGCCAGCATTTGTTTCCCTGCCCAACCCTGACACCCCCCAACCCAATGCTGGCACCAGGTTGCTTCAAGAGCCCAGTCTCCCATGACCGGGACGGAGAGAAACTCCCTCCCCTGTGAGGCAGTACAGGGCCTAGGACACATGGGTGAGCACTGAAGACCCCGATGCCTTTGCCCAGGGCTTCATCAGGCCCCCAGTGGAGCTGAAACCCATTAGATGTCCCGGGAGAGAGAGGCCAGGGCTTCCCGATGGCAGCAGGTGCCTGCTGTTGCTGCCCCTGGAGCCGTGGGAGAAGCAGGAGCTGGCTGCAGGGCATTAAACCCCACCGTCCCAATGGGGAGAGGCCAAGAGAGGGTCTTGCTGCCACCGCCCGAGCCACCCCCTGCCCTGCCGGGAGCAGGCACAAGAGCCGGGATCGTTGCATAACGCGGTTTGAGCTGGACGGCTTCGTCATGCGTCAGCCCCTCGGCGATGGAAGGCCGTTGTGCAACGCCCAGCTCGCACCAGCTGCCTTCCCCAGAGCCGGGCCGGCTATGGAGACCCAGGCCAGGCGGGACCGGAACAACCTTCTCTGCAGGTCGAGGCCAAGCGGGAAACACATTTCCCGTCTTGCAAAATGTTCCTGGGCTCATTCCAAGGCAGGACGATGCTTCCTGCAGCAGAGACAGCCTGAGGCTGGAGCAGCACGGGGGAGGAGGGGCAGAGCTGCGCTGGGGTGGGGGGCGCTGGGCCCAGGCATTGCCCTGCCTAGCTCCCAGGTTGTGGGCAGACGAGGCTGTTAAATTGCTTGGAAGAGGGCAGGGTAACAGCAAGGGAGCGCATCCTGCTGGGTGTCTGCTTCTGTCCCGGGGTAAAGGAAGCAAAAGCAGAATGAGAGAGAGGTCCACGCGGGCGCGAGAGCTGCAGCCCTTATCCGTCGCCACTCGACGGGCACTCCAGCAGGATCAAACCGCCGGGGCAGAGCCGTCACACTGTGATGCAGAGCAGCATCCCGACCCGGAGAGGGGCATCGACTCTTCCAAGGCACAAGTCAAGCCAGACTTTTCTGCCCGGAGCGGTCCGACAGCTGGGTCAGCTCCAACCGGGATGGCAGGGAGTTTTATTGGCAGCCTCCAAAGCAGGCTGATGTCAGCCTCTCCAGAGAAGGAGGGAGCCAGGCTCCGGTGAACCCAAGTAGCCGGTCTCGTGCACAAGGAGACAGGCTGCTAAGTGCAGCAGCCACCGCAGGAGCCCCTAGGGCAGCCTCCCCCTCTGAGCTCAAATGCCCCCTTGTCTTGCTCTTCCAGGCACAGCGAGGGCCTGGCATCTCCCCCAGAAGGCAGCCTCCAGTCCTGCCAGCGTGCCAACAGCCTGGGTGAAATGAGGTGCCGGGACTGGACACCCACGTCCAGGGAGCGGGGCTCTGACCAGATTCATCCCTGTTTGTACACCCCAGGACCACGCTGGCTGCAGCATCGTACTGGGAGCCCCATATCTGCCGTGATTTAGAGATGTCAGATTGGAGGATTCAACCAAGTGCAGAGTCCTGCACTTAGGAGGGAACAATCCCCTGCACCGGTGCAGGCTGGGGGTGACGGGCTGGGCAGCAGCTCTGCAGACAAGGACCTGGGGGACGGGACAAGAAGCTGAACAGGAGCCAGCAGTGTGCCCTTGGTGCCTTGCTGTTTTGAATCACCCCAGCATGTTGTCTGCCTTTTTGACGGCTGCTGAGCACTGAGCTGATGATTGTAGCGAACCGGGACTCCCAGATCTCTATCCTGTGTGGTAACAGCGGACATGGAGGTTGAGTTTGGACCAGCCGGCAGCCCCGAGCAGGGACCTGGCATGCAAACCCCACCTTAGGGAGCCCCATTCTTTAGTGTCAGCACCTCCCGCCCTTTGTCTGGTCCCACAACAAGAGGGAAGGCTCGCTAGACTCATTTCACAGATGGGGAAACTGAGGCACAGAGTGCTGTGGTGAGTCCCCAGTGGTCCCCAGAGACAAACCCAGGCCCAGCATGGGCTTAACTGATTTACAGGGCAATGCTCTGTCCAGGGGGGAGGGTGCCCTTGCCCTTACAGCTGTGGGAGCACATGGATAGGGTCATTGCACTGCCATGGAGAGTGATGCCAGGAGCCACCAGCGGCCCCAAGGTCAGGTTTCTGGTGCAAGGGGCTCCAAAAAAAAATCACTCGCTCGCTGCAACAGAGCAATCACCGTGGGGCAGGGACGGCCCAGGGGAGCCAGCGGGTACTGCCTAGACCGGGGTCTTCTCTGCCTCTTCAGCAAGAAGGCCAGGGGAGGGATGCAGTGATGTAGTTGCAGCCCCTTCGATACCTGCTCTACCCACAGTTTTATAACCAGCAAGAGCAGCAGCCTTTCTAGGCAGGCAGCAGCCAGCGAGTCATTTGACTTCACGGCTCATTATAAATCGCCCTGATTCCTTCTAACCTCTTCACTCCACAGGTGCTAAGCTCCCTCTCTCCTTTTCAATGGCCTTGACGATCCACTAATCCAGCTATTCTGCCGCCCAGGGTCCTCCGATGTTCTGCTCCACTTCTTCTGCAACTAGCTGCTGCTGGAAACGTAGCTCCCATTTCACAGCCCCGCGGCCTGTTTTTCACTCCAGCGAACAGCATTAACTCAAGCCTGCAAATAACTTTCTGCGAAGCGTGTGGGTGCGCTGCCAAGATGCTCCAAAAGGCCTGAGTTTGTTTTATGAATCTCCAAAGAGGGAGAGGCCTGTGTCATTCCAGCGACTGCAGGACTAATGAAGCAGTCTCTTTTGATTATGCTTTGCCTAATTTGTGTGTGTGTTTTTCTAATAAATCATTAATGCACCTTCCAAAAAAATGTTCACGGAATAATATAGCTCTAGCCCTAGGCCCTGCAATCTCAGTAAAGCGTCTGGTTTGCTTTTCACTGGAGAAGAGTGCGTTGTGTTAGATGTGAGCTGCACCCTCCTTTTCAAAATCCTAGATCCGCTCATGTGCTCCCAGGCTAGGGACAGCCCTGCTGGGGGGTGGGTGCATGGGGAAGGGGCTGCAGCCAGTGGGGCTCCCCAGGACATGCGCTCTCTGAGGACGAAACACTTACTACCACCTCAAGCATAGGGCAAGGCCTGCTTTCACAGTGCAGAGTGCTGTATATTATAAAGCATCTCACGCCCTCGTGGTCTCCCTCCATAGATATGTACAGCACCAAGTACTGTGACTCCCAAGAGCTTGGTTGAAGCTGCAATGCTGCAGCGATAGCCGTGATGGAGCTGTCGGCCAGGGCCCCGAGGGGCCTAACCACAGGCCTAACAGTGCCTAGGGAGCCATGGTGCACTTGGGTTTGGCTCTCCAAGTCTGCAACTGGACTCAAGACTGTCCAGGCTGGGTCAGCCATCAGCTGATTGTCAGTCCTGCACATGGAGCTGGGCACCTGGCTTGCAACTCGCTGGTGCAGGGAAGCTTGGGATCCCTGACCCCTCAAATCACACGTGCCGCCAGGGTAGGAGACATGACGGTTGGGACCAGGGATCAGATCCCACACTGCCATTAAATGAACCCATGCCAAGGCTCAAAGCAATCAAGTGGCTTGCCTAAGGCTGCCAAGGGAGTCAGTGGCAGAGAGCTCCTTCATTCTACGTGCCCAGCCCCCACACTCTGCTGGAGCAGGAGTCTGATGTGCTCTGGGCAGCGCCTAAAGCCTCCATGCAGCCCTTTGCAGAGCACGCTGCAGCCAGGAGGTTGGAAACCCCATTGGCTGTGCTTCCTTTGCAATTAGGAGGTTGGAAACCCCATTTGCCCAGCCACAGCACCACCCCCCCCCCCGGCACGCCCAGAGCCTGGCCCTACGTACCACTTTGGGCAGGACGGAGGCGATGGCATCCCTGATGGCTTCCCGCAGGCAGGCGACATCGATCACAGCCCCCAAACTCAGCAGGGCATCCTGGAAGGGGGAAGAGAAAGGCAGGGTGTTAATGGCAGGGCCAGGGCTCCAGCTCGCTGGCCCCGAGCCGTCAGCATGCACCGCGCAGGTACCACAGGGGTGGCCACGGCTGAACCCAGAGCCGCCAGACAGAGGCAGGGGACCGGCAAGACCACAGATTATTCGGCATGCCTGCCCGGCTCCTCCCGGCATGAAAACCTCTGCAACTCTAGCACCAACACGTGTTATACTCAAAATCACGTCCCCAGCCTGCCTCAGTTTTCCTGTGTTGGGAAAGCCCATTGGGGATGACCTGGCAAGGACATACACTAAGTTTTTGGGAGTGGATAAACACAGGGGGAATTAGGTGCTAGATGCTGAGCCAATGCATCCTAGGGGACACGTGGGGGGCCTTGCTTCTACCTGAATTACTGGGGAAAGGCTGGGCAATGCCATTCCCTCTCCAGGAGAAGCTGCCAATGACTGGAGAAGGGCACACAGCCAGCAAGAGACAGCCCCAGGCCCGGGGACCTTGCAGGAGAGGCAGAGACCATCACCCCTGCTAGGCCAGGGGAAACTGAGGCCCAGTGGGGCTAAGCAGCCTGCCCACAGCCATGCAAAGAGGCTACAGCAGAGTCGGGATGCTGGTATAGCCCATGAGACGGCTGAAGGGCACGGGCACACGGCATGGTTACTGCAAAATAACTCAGCCCCGATGCCACCCCGGGGGTAAGTTTGATGCCCTCCCTCCTGACATTACTGAGGCCTGCCAGCTCATCGCACCCCCCTTGAGTATCTGGCAGTGAGGAAGAGATGATAGGCACCGGCAGCTGCCTCCCCTGGGCACCTCGTGCCCCGGGCATCCGGCTGAGCTCAGCCCAGCAGCAGCTCTATTGCAAGACCACAGGAAGAGGAAGGGATGCAAGGGTGCGCCTGGAGGCTCCTCCGCTCTCCTCCCCCTCCAGCCAGACCAGGGCTGGGGCTACAGGCTCAGAGTCCCAGCCATGCACAACACCCGCCCCCGATGCACCTGCCACCCCCTCTGCTTTAGGCATGAGCCAAGCTGGCAATGCCACCCTGCCACAGCACCTTGGCAATGAACTTTAGAAGCAGGGTGGGCTGGGGTTTGGTAGCCAGGAAGCAGAGGGTCCCGACCAGCAAGGCTTTCTCACAGCACCCGCAAGGGGTGCTGCCAGGGGACCCCAGAGACTGACAGATGCTTCATGCCCCTGCCCCGGGAGTGACTTTGCTCCGGTAACTAGACCAGAAGGAGACGGCATGAGGATACGCCAGAGCTCCCAGGCTCCCCCCATCCCGAACGGGCAGCGAGCAGCAGAGGAGCGGTGCCAGGCTCGGGACACACAGGGCGGAGGGTCTCTGCTCACACCTGTGTTGAACCCACACCCCAGGGCCATGCGACACCATCCTCCTCCAAGCAGACCTGCAGCGGCTCCACCGTGGCCTTGGATTGGTGGGAGGCCGGCGTGTCCTTTGCAGGGATTGGCCTGATGTCGGACATCCTCTGCCGGGATTGGTGGAATGGACTCCAATACTTTGGAGGCAAGAAGGGATTTTTCAGACTAAGTGGATCCCCTCTGTTGCGACTGGACAGCTGTCGCTTCCCGCCCCCGAGCTGTGATTGGATGGAAGGGTTTCAGTGCGGGAAACCAGTTAAAATTATGGTGCAACTTCTGCGATTGGCTGACCCCGTCCACGTCTTCCACCTGGATCGGTGGGACGTTGGCATCTCCTCTGATCCAACTGGCAAGCCAGCGGCGTCTGCTGCTCTGATTGGCGAGACGACAGCACCCTTTGCTCCGATGGGTGGGCTCCCAGTACGCCCTTGGCTGCGAGTGGTGGGATGGCCTCCAGACCCCTATTCGAAGAGGCTTCCTGCATCAGCTCATTCCAGGCAACTTGTTTCCAGACTCTGGAGCCGTCTCTCTCCCTTTTCTACTGCATTAGGCCCATCGTCTGGGCCCATGCACGCCAGACCCCCAAGTCCCACACCATTAACCTCGAGATGGTGGGTCCCCGCACACCCCACGCCTCTCTCCGAGAAGCCTGTACCCAGTGCACAGACCCCTTCTTGCAATGCTGAGCTCGCTAGATCACATCAGCCTCACGGCTCCCAGGGGCCGGGGCCCCGTTGCAGGCAGGCGAGCCTCTGGGCTTACCCAGCCGGGTGCACAACGCTGCATGCAAGGGAAAGGGACTCCTGACCCCTGCGCTCACTGGGTATTGCCCCGACGCGGGCACCAGAGACTGCAGTCAGCGAGGACATCGCCCTCTTCCCCTGGCAGGAAATCAATGGGCTTCGAGCAGAGCCTGGGAACTCTGCCCTGTGCATTTGACTCACAAACCTCTTCAAAAAGGGAAGCCTGAGCCGACTCCCACAGCTCCTCCTGCCCATATGGCAATGGGCCCATGTCTGGACAGACCCCGCTTCCCCTGTAACACCAGCAGCCTCACGGTCTGGCAGAAGGAGAATCACCACTGGCATCCAGCAGTGGATGGGCTAGGACACACAGCTTCCATTTCACACAGGAGACGGCTCATCGCGGTGTTCCAGCTCGTTACCGCCGCGGCTCCTGCCCCCGACGAGGCAGGCTCCATCTGGCCACAGGTGCTGCCATCTCCCGGGTGCCCCGTGCTGACGGCAGAGTGCCAGAGAGGCCGCGTATCCAGCCCTCTTGCAGCCCTGCGCGCCGAGCAGGCCGGGGGCGCTGACCCGCGTCTGATGTATTTATTCTTCGCCGGGCTGTCAGTTCTTTTGTATTCATAAAAGATGACCCGAGCCTGGCAAGCAAAAGCAACCGTGGAATTTTAAATGCGACGAGCAGCGCCGCAGCCACCTGCTCCGTCCCCAATGACTTCTGGCGGGTTCAAGCCCTGCTGCGTGCCTCAGTTTCTCTGCGTCTGCAAAGCCCGTGGAGATGACTTGGAAGGGCACACACTAAGCCCTTGGCACCTGTCTGTCCTCCGGGAGTGGGCACACACAGGAAGATGAGGAGCTATAGGAGCCCAGCCAACGTGTCCTGCTCCAGGCCAGGGTGGGGATGGCCTCATCTTCCTCACTCAGTCTGCGGAGCCTGAATCCTTCCCCCAGCTGGCAGGGAGGTTGGCCTCCAACTTTGAGACCACAGAGATGGGCCCTGGAGGGAACTCAGAGCGGGACAGGGAGTCCCACGTTGCCTCAGCCGTAAGCTTACAGCACCTGGGATCGTGGAGCTGGAAGAAGCATCAAGCTGGGACAACTGGGAATTGAAGCCCCAGCCTGCCGCACCTCTGCCGGTTGCCAGCTCCAGTGGGGCAGGGACGGAGATGCAGGCCGGTCCTGTCGGCCAGGGGAACAAGTCAGAGCTCTGAGCGCACCCCTGAGATGCTCCTAGAGAAGCATGACTCCCCGGGTGGCATCTTTGCCCATCCCTCCTTCTTCCCCCATGCCTATGCCAGTCAGTGCTCGGGTCCAGTACCCCAGTGCCCACCCGAGGCTAGACATGTGTCCAGCCACCCCCCTGCCTGAAGTTGTCAGCCGTGTGGATCGCTCCCCACTCCAAAGGGCTTCCAGGCAGGGATGAGACTGCAGCCCTCCATGCTGTCTCCATCCCCAGGACCTGCCCCGTGGGGGTCCCAGCGGCAGCTGTGACTTGGCTGCCTATTCCCAGCCAGCTGGCATGGGGCACGGAGCACAGACCAGAGTCATAGGAGGCAACATCTCAGGCCAAGCTGCAGCTCATACAGCTCCTCTCTGACCGGGGAAGGGGGGGACCCTTATCCTCCTCAGACAGAGGGAAACTGAGGCACTGTACCCGGCATGCCACGGCAGAGCCAGGGACCAGAGCGAAGGTGGATCCCTGTGGAGACGGCGCTTTGCCATGCCACGCCGCCCATCCAGCACAATCTGAGCCCCTCCCTGCCGCGGACAGCAATGCCCTCTGCAGATACACACCCAAGGGGCGGAGGGGGGGTGGCAAAGGGCCCTGCATCCTCCCAAGGACAAACTCCAACCCCAGCCCCCACCCGTGATGCTGCAGATGCCTCGTGGCTTTGAAGTGGGTCACCTCCGGCCGCCCCGGAGCTGAGCTGGTGGAGGGGAGAGGGGCGCTTGGAGGTGGTCCCAAGGCAAGTGCTGCAGTGCTGGGAGCGCTCGGCCTCCTGAGGACATGACGGCTCCATCTATTTTAAGCCTTTTTGTACTCCTTTTTTCGGGATCGGAGCCAACTGGGGAGCCTTGAAGCCATCCCACAGAGGCAGCTCCAATGGGGCAGGGACGGAGACGCAGGCCGGTCCTGTTGGCCAGAGAACAAGCCAGAGCTCTGAGCGTACCCCCGAGATGCTCCTAGAGAAGAAGCAAGACCCATGTCACTGGGTGCACCTTGCAACCGGCCTGCTATTGCTCTCTATCCGCCCCCCCACCACAGCTTCCTTCCTGCCCGCAAAAGAGATCTCCCATCTCCAGTGCCTGGCTCCCACTGGGATCCTTTGGTGCCATGCCTCAGTTTCCCCATCTGTAACACAGGGGCGCTGAGACTGCTCCATCTCACTGGAGGTGCATCTGTCCCTACGGCACTCAGAGCTACAGCAAAGTGGGGCTATGTCGGTGAGAGCAATGTTTCCATCTCAAAAGCTGTCTCTAGAGGAGGGAGGGGACTCATCAAGCCGGCCCTGCATCTTTGCACTCAAAGTAGAGCCAGCGCATCCATGCAGTGGAGCAGAACAGGCAGTCAAAGTGTCACCCAAAGTGGCGCCCGGCAGCGACGGTGGCTTTGCAACGTGCTGTCGGCTGCAGGGATGCAATATAAGCTCCCGCTCCAGGCTGGGTCCTGATGCTGAGAAGCTGCAGAGGTGGGGAAGCTACAGTGCTCTGGGGTTAGGAGAAACGTTTGCAAACCCGAATCATGGAATAAAAGTGGGGTGGGGGGCACTTTGCAGGAAGGTGAGTTGGTGAGGGGGAGCCTCAGCACAAAAGCTTGTTTCTCAAGCTGAGACCACCACACTGGAGAGACAGCCAGCTGGGA